ACCAGTCTCCTTTCCTGACTGCACTCGTTCAGTAGAGATATATTAACCATAGTTCAGCATAGAGGCCATATTAAACTACACAGGAAAACTGTTGCCTGTTCCTAACCCACAGGAAGTGAGAGAACTGTCATAAAGAACAAAAGGGTTTTTCGCTCAGAAAGGAATTGCGTCATTTAAAATGCAGTCTTTGTTTTCCTAAAGCCTCTGCACTGTACTGTGCTGTGAGGTGCAGACGCTGCACATTCCGCTGGTTCCAAGGTACACAGACAATCCCTCAGTATTAAAGGAAAAATATAAAAATAGATTTAGGTATTTGTTTCATTAGTCCACTGTTTGATACAGTCCCAAAATGTTTTTGCATGTCGGCAATCAAGTTCTAGATATAGAACTTTTAAAAAATCCATAAAGTGTCACAGTATGATGTGTTTCGGAAGTGCATCAACCGTGGACTAATGAAACAAATACCAAAAGATAGTTTGAGTGGAATTTTCCTTTGACATATAGTGCACTACTTTTGACCAGCGCCCATAAGTACCTATTCATAAAAAAAAATCATTTCCTTGAGATGCTGGTAAGAACTCTAAGTTGGTGCATTTCCTTAATGACCGTTAGGGTTACCCCTTGTCCTTTGCTCTCTCTCCGCTACACCACTCACTCATGGTTAATGGTTGAAACCTGTCTATACATGTCTCACCAGATGCAGGAGTCCTTGAATGACCTCTATGAATCATCAATCTTTACTCCGGTGTTGCTCCGTTCCCTCAGGTGTCAACAGACAGACATTTTGCTGCAGGCTACATCTGAGACAGTGATTGTGTAGGCTGACACTCACACTTTTATTTTCCTACTAGCAGCAACTTTGCTGATAATCTTGAGGAAACAATTACTTACTATGACTGTGATGTGGTTGTTTCACCTAGCTATCTTAAAGGGATACTTCGGGATGTTGGCAATGGGGCCCTTTATCTACTTACGCAGAGTCAGATGAATTCGTGGATACAATTTTTATGGCTCTGTGTCCAGTATGAAGGAAGTTAGAGGTAGTTTAGCAAGTCAATGCTAACTAGCGTTAGCGCAATAACTGGAAGTCTATGGGTATCGCATTACGCTAATGCTAGTTAGCAATTGCACTAGCTAGCAACTTCCTTCAAATTGCATGCAGAGACTTAAAAATGGTATGCACGAGTTCATCTGACTCTGGCGAAGTAGATCGCAATTTGTCGAGGTGGATCCAGTTGAGAATGGGTGTCAACAGGTAGCTAACGTTACTCACTGGACTTGCCACTCGTTCATAGAACCATCAGCTTGCAAATAACTATTTATTTTTCTGTAAAGCTACTCATGGTGTGGTGCTCAGTACCTGGATGTGCAAACTACAAGCAAGCACAGGCTGCTGGGGTAACATTTCATTGGTTACCTGCCGGCGATTATCCTCGGAGCCAACAGCGGCTGGCGGCAATAAAGAACGCTGCCTATGATGTGAATACTCCCGTGGAGAAATATCAAAATGTCCATGTTTGTAGCCAGCACTTTCATCCAGAGGATTTCTAAACAGACCTGAAGTCTTAACTGATGGGGTTGCCAGGTTGTTGATCGTTAAAAAGTGATGCTATGCCATCAATTTTCCCCTTCGCTTCAAAGAGGAAGGCATCCGATCAGCCAACATCAGCGCAGCAGAAAATAATTCGAGCAGAGGTAACATAGCTAACAAACTACATTTGTTTATCTAATTTTTAGATATGCTAGCTAGACATTCCAAAGCAAATCAATGTAATTAGCCAGCTGCTATCTGGTGATATGATTTGTAACTTTGCAAGCTAACGTTAGCTACCTTAGGTTACGTTAGCTACAGCCTACCAGACAGTCTTACCATTAGCTAGCTAGCTAATAACTGCAGAGGCTAAATTCACTGGCCGATGTCATCAACATCAAGCTCAGCGACTAGTGTAAGTCACCTTTGCTAAATCTTTCCATGAAAGTGACTGTAGCATGCCTGTTGTGAGAAGTGTCCAATCAACACCTATGATTAAATTGATGTTAACACATTAAAACACATGTTATTACACAGTGTTAACTTTACATCGATATAGATCAATGTCTATTGATCCACAACGTTTTGCCTGGACGTGTCAATCGAGTGTGATTCCCCCAAGAAATTGGGGGTTAACTGATAAGGATACATCAAATGATACATTGTATCACAATATTGCAATGCCTGGTGAGGGACATTGACAGACAGTGAAAGTCCTGTCGAATTGTTTAGGGCAATTCCACAGTAACGAAATTGCACTGGGACTCCGATTTTTTTACTTAAAATGTATCCCAAACAAAAACCACTGATTTGAAAAAGTTTAACAAACCATACAAGTAATTACCTTTACTTGTAACCTGACCTGGGCAGCCGCTGGTGGGCTTTAGACCTGGGCTAGCTGTTTAAAACTTTTATTCTCCATATGTAGGGTTTTCAGACATTACATTCGCCTACATTTGGCTCCGTGTAAACTACAATTCTGATACTGTGTTTTAACTTTTAGCAACGTGAATAACCATTGCTTTCTAAACAGTTTTCGAAACATTATCTTTCAGGTCAGCCAGAAAGAATCTTTCAAATAAAAAAAAGATACTTACTGATGCAGTTTTGCACAGATCCATACACCGTGGCCTCCAGTTGACAAACTACACTTCCTCCCCAGTTAACCTCTACGGGATCGGTGTCCCGCATACGGGACGGTTGAGCTAACGTGTGCTAATGTGATTAGCATGACTGTTGTAAGTAACAGCAAACTTTCCAGGACATAGACATGTCTTATATGGGCAGACAGCTTAAATTCTTGTTAAACTAACTGCACTGTCCAATTTACAGTATCTATTACAGTGAAAAAATACCATGCTATTGTTTGAGGAGAGTGCACAACAACAAAAAACGTATCATGGCAACTGGTTTGATACATTCACCTCTGACGGTAAATAATGTACTTACATTCAGTAATCTTGCTCTGATTTGTCATCCTAAGTGTAGCAGAGTTTTGTTGCATAAAATAAATTTTTATACTCAAATGTAGGGAACTGGGTTCTACAATTTGAACCCCTGTTGTCTCCACACCCACCCCGCCCGGCCATCTAGATGTGTGAAAGTTAGTGTATAAACTAATGATCCATCATGTATGACATTCCTGGGAGTGTGTAAACTTACATTTTGTATTACCATATCATTTTTGTACGTTCTCTATAGTTATGTACTTGAAAATGTATCAATTGACCAATTCGGCACATTTGGGAATCCCTGCAATGGATTTCACATGCGAGGAACCTGCAGTAAAATAACTGCACGTCGTAAACAGACAAACAAATCATTTCTGGAACTCACCACATATGTTGATCCATTTTCTCCCGAACGAACCTCCGTTTCGGGAATGGAGAAATGCATTTTAGATTTCAGATGGCCCACTGGACGAGGTGTCCACTATTTAGCATGAAAATGACAAATCTTGAAGAGAAAGTCCACGCGATTGCTTGGTGATGATGACCACAATCATTTGAAGAAGAAAGCGGTCTTGTCTTGGTTCCGCTCTTACTCGGGCAATCCACAGTGTTATTTATGTACGTTGTTCAATCCGATGCGACGAAAAAAACCCCAGATGTTCTTTATCCAACAATTCCTGCTGCACTGTAATGGATCAGTATAAAACTCCCCCACGTCAGTGCTCTAAACTTCAACTTTTCCCACTAGCGTCGCCGTAGCAGCCATGTTGCAGATGTAGGTAATTCCACCTTCATTGTTGGCAGTAAAATTGTACTTATTCGTCGACTCTGTGTGTGGTGGTCCAAAAAACATTCACCGTTGACGCTTTTACAGCAATCCGTTTTTCAATTCGTGCCGACAATTCCATTCACTTGCGTAATCATTAGAACTTTCCAATGAAAAGACGCAGTTTGCTCCTGCAAACCCCAGTCACTGCCCTAAAATGTACAAACGAGAAAACAAGCACCGATGTGTTGTAGCCTATTTTTTTGTAACTCTTTCTGTGTCTTGAAGTTTTCCTAAATAGGATGCATTGGGCGAGCAAGCGGTTCGGAAAACAGACGTGATCCAAATCCAATAAAACTGGCTACATTGTAGCCATCCAGCAAAGATGTATCAAGTAGCTCATCAAGAAGCGTTGCAACAGTCCTCCGGTCCAAACCATTTCTGAGAGAGGAGACCACATTTATTTAAAACATTAAAAAAACAATTATATCCCTACTTTTAAAGGAATTCATTAAGAAAATGTTAATTTATGTTGGGGTTTAGGCCACACATACATAAATTATGTTATATTTTCTAACAGCATGCAACAAAATCCCCTACGTAAATGATTTCCTCTCGTCTTCTGACCCCTGTTCTGTGATGGTACTTTCCTGAGAGTCGGGATGGTCAGATGACGGTGGATTTCAGCAGTCCAGACAACTTCCAAAATCAATGGAAATGTTTTCTTAATATCAGCATTAGGAAAAATTTTAATTATTTTGTGAATTTGTGCCTGTTCATTTTGTTTTTGTCTTGAAAGGCAAGGAACAAAGGAATATAGACAATTAATAATGCAACATTTTTTATAATAATTAATTTTAACAGTAACCTAACCTTTCTCTTTGGGATCCGCAATTTATAGGCTGCATTTTAGATATGCGAAAACGTTGCGAAAATTGTAACGTCATGAAGCACTGGCTGCGTTCAAACACTCACAACTGGTTTCCTTTTATATTCTCTGTCTCTTACTGATCATTCATGTGAAAAGAAAGATTAATAATAGCCTAGGTCTAAAAGCAAAAACATACGATCTTTCTGAAGGGCATTTGCTATATTAGCCTACCATAGTGTTTGTTTCTCTATTCAAATCGAGCACACATCAAGGGTGAAAAGGAAACGAGGCAAGGAGACATGCAGATGAATCGGGACGCGGACGTGATTCAGTCGCTTACATGCTTTTTACGTATCGGTCATGTGACTTGCGCCGTGGAAAATGACCGCTGGATCCAGCCAGCAGAATGCTGCAGTGGTCTTATTAATCAGTCATTTATGTTTCTATGGGGGTTGTCAACTGACTGAGTTACAGGTAAAGGGGTCTGCTTCAGCGCTATAGGCAATGCGGAAATGCTGCTCAGTGCTATGTCAGATCCGTTACATTGTTGCTGTTACATTGTAACTGCTGCTACACTCAAGAGTAGAGTTGTTACATTGTTTTATACACTCGGATGTGTTACATTGGTGCTTTACTGTGTTGTTACGTCGTAACTGCTATGCTACTTGGCTACACGCAGTGTTGTTACATTGTAACTGTCTGCTGCTAGCCTGCATGCTACACACTCCCCGAGATTTGTCGCTTGAAGCTATATATAGTATTGGTCAATAGTTGCCTGCAAGATAAGATTTTTTCTGAAGCATTTGTTGTAGAAAGCTACTGTTGGTACGCTAGGTCTTGTTCATAACGGCGTTGTGAATAGCTCCGCGTTGTGTATTTGTGGTCAACAACAACAGGTAGGCCTGTGCCATCGCTGCAACGGGACAGTCCAGAACGGCACCGCCGTGAGCCAGTTCTGTTCCGGGTCTGCGGGTTTGATTGATGGCCGCTGCTGCCTGCAGCGAAAGGAAAACACCAGGGATGCTGACTACATCATTGGGTAGGAATTCGATTTTGTGCTTTGACAAGGATTCGTTTTGTAACCATTTACAGTTGATAATATGGTGGTCCTACTGAATTGCCCATAGAGGACAGATACTTTGTGTAATAACATTTAGTAACATCCAACAACTATAACATGTAACAACTGGTTAGTAAAATGTACCAACTGATGAAGTGTCTGTCATTGTTTTTTTTTTACTGTCTGTGCCCTTTATTAACATGTATTAATCCCACTCGATACGTTTCTCTCAGGTTGGACCTATCAAACTGTTCCCTAAGCCACGTTGAAGACCTTCAAGATGCATTCAACGCTACAACAATGTATGGGGAAAAAAAACAGACTGTTCACATTTACATACATTATCAGTGTGTTACTATGCGCAGCGTTAACTTCTGTTTTCTCTCTTGACCTTGCAGAGATCTGTCACTGAACCCCATTGTAAACCTGAACAATGCCCTGTTTGAAGGCTTTATCCAGTTGGCTAACCTGTAAGCACAATGTCAACGTTATTTACTGTCCATCGGTGTTTGCCAATAACACCATTGCTAAATCCCTCCTGTACTGTACTCGGGGACTGAGCTCTCCTGTAGCTCTGGTGCAATACGGTCTGGCGGTTCTAAAAATACTATTTTCTTCTCTGTCTTTGGACCTGTAAGGATTCTGCCCGCCAACCTGGTCTGTCCAGGAGGCAATGCATCATGGGATAAGATGGAGGTCAAAGGGGAGACTCGTTTTTGTGAAGGACAGGAGGACATCTGCAACCAGACTGGCCATTTGTGTAAATCAGTCACTTACCATTAAGGGTTTCTGCTGTGTGACATTTGTTTTGTTGAGTAGACAAGCATTCCTTATTTCTAGTTTAACTTACATTTGGGAAACAATTAAAATGTGAGTGCCACCTAAGCTGTGATTCTAAATACAGTGAACTGGCATCGGTGTTATAACTGACAGTTTATATAGTACCTTTTTATATGCTTATTTTCCCTCCATAACTTTGCTTCTACAGCGTTGAACTGCCCTGAGAACTCCCTCTGTGCCCCATATGGTCCCGGCTTCTTTCAATGTAGCTGTGTGGATGACTTCTATGGATACAAGTGTCTTCGAGAGGTCAGTTACTACAACACAGCCACCCTGTCATTTATTGGAAAATATTCCTTAAAAAAAAAGAAGCTATTATTATTTGGGGACAATGGCGATAAATTGCATCACAAACAATAGCCTATTCATTCATATCCATATTCCATCACTGATTGTTGAAGACGACGCAAGTATGAACTGTCAAGGAAACAAACTCACAGCCCTTCAAACATAATAACTGCTGTGGTCAAATGAAATCCTTGTCTGTGTGTTGTTGGCAGGGAGAGTTTCCTATAATCCAGGTGATCGGGCCTCTAGCGGGCTCCACGGTCCTGGTCTCCATCCTGCTATGGGTCACCCAAAGACGCAAGGCCAGATCAATCTGAAGTTCTACCCGAGCCTCTGGTCTGAGGCCTAGTCCTAGGACTCTATGGACGACACTGACATTTTCAAGTGGTACTGACCTGAAACGGCAGGGAAAATGCTGAGTGGACTGTTGATTGAGGAGACGGTCTCAGGGATTAGGGTTAATGTTATAGTGCTGACAGTGGACTGTTGATTGAGGAGATGGTCTCAGGGATTAGGGTTAATGTTAGTGCTGACAGTGGGCTGTTGATTGAGGAGATGGTCTCAGGGATTAGGGTTAATGTTATAGTGCTGACAGTGGGCTGTTGATTGAGGAGATGGTCTCAGGGATTAGGGTTAATGTTATAGTGCTGACAGTGGGCTGTTGATTGAGGAGATGGTCTCAGGGGTTAATGTTATAGTGCTGACAGTGAGCTGTTGATTGAGGAGATGGTCTCAGGGGTTAATGGTATAGTGCTGACAGTGGGCTGTTGATTGAGGAGATGGTCTCAGGGGTTAATGTTATATTGCTGACAGTGGACTGTTGATTGAAGAGATGGTCTCAGGGGTTAATGGTATAGTGCTGACAGTGAGCTGTTGATTGAGGAGATGGTCTCAGGGATTAATGTTATATTGCTGACAGTGAGCTGTTGATTGAGGAGATGGTCTCAGGGGTTAATGGTATAGTGCTGACAGTGAGCTGTTGATTGAGGATATGGTCTCAGGGGTTAATGGTATAGTGCTGACAGTGGGCTGTTGATTGAGGAGATGGTCTCAGGGGTTAATGGTATAGTGCTGACAGTGAGCTGTTGATTGAGGATATGGTCTCAGGGGTTAATGGTATAGTGCTGACAGTGGGCTGTTGATTGAGGAGATGGTCTCAGGGGTTAATGGTATAGTGCTGACAGTGGGCTGTTGATTGAGGAGATGGTCTCAGGGGTTAATGGTATAGTGCTGACAGTGGACTGTTGATTGAGGATATGGTCTCAGGGGTTAATTGTATAGTGCTGACAGTGAGCTGTTGATTGAGGATATGGTCTCAGGGGTTAATGGTATAGTGCTGACAGTGAGCTGTTGATTGAGGATATGGTCTCAGGGGTTAATTGTATAGTGCTGACAGTGAGCTGTTGATTGAGGATATGGTCTCAGGGGTTAATGGTATAGTGCTGACAGTGGGCTGTTGATTGAGGAAATGGTCTCAGGGGTTAATGGTATAGTGCTGACAGTGGGCTGTTGATTGAGGAGATGGTCTCAGGGGTTAATGGTATAGTGCTGACAGTGGGCTGTTGATTGAGGAGATGGTCTCAGGGGTTAATGGTATAGTGCTGACAGTGGGCTGTTGATTGAGGAGATGGTCTCAGGGGTTAATGGTATAGTGCTGACAGTGAGCTGTTGATTGAGGAGATGGCCTCAGGGGTTAATGGTATAGTGCTGACAGTGAGCTGTTGATTGAGGAGATGGTCTCAGGCCCATGTGACATGTTTCTAGACTTCTCTTTGAAAGGCAGCTATGCTTTAATTTATTCTAAACAATTTGGGAGGGTGGGTGATGCTCAGTGTTTTAATCGCCACAAATTATGCAATTATCGTACAGCTTGCAGCCATTTATCTAGATCAACATGGCGTTATGTTCAACATAAGCTGGAACTCAATTTATGTTCCAACCGTGGTTACAAAGAGGTTTACTGAGACTCCATGTGGATTGTAGTAGGAGCTATGAATGTGCAATATAAATTGCAATAGCAACAAAATATTATAATTGTCTGGGAAAACTGACAACATATCAAGATATCGATTGATAAATCACATTATAGGGAGACATGAGCAAAAACCCCTTGCTTGCAGACGGCACCGCTAAAGTTGACTTGTTCATACATGTACAGATCGATTGATGTTATAAACCGAATGGGTTGCCTTTTGTGTTTTACCCTGGATTAAAGAAAGATGTTATACACGGACTCAAGTGATTTGCTGTTTACTGTGTGTGTGTGTGTGTGTGTGTGTGTCGACCTGAAGCGATAGGCCTCCAGACAATTCTGAACTGCACACAGGTGACTTTATGCACTGACCAGAAACCTCAATCTGCCCATTTCCTCTGCGCCATTGAGCAGTTCATTGAAAACTAGTGTGTTGATTTTTTGTCTGTAATAAAACCTCTCTGTTATGGAACACTAAAGAAAAGTCATTAAGGAAACGTTCGCTCTTCTTCCAGGAGTGTATTCTCTTAAACACTGATCATTGTTATGGGCATTTAGCCACAGCGATACCTAATTAATAGCTGTAATTCAATCAGAACAGTTAAATGGTTTGCTGTAGTGTGAATGAGGACACATCATTTAGTATTACACAACTACAGCAATACATTATTTGCAAAACTTTAAAATTTGGTTTGATCGAAAAACGGTCGAAACAGAAATCTTGACTTCATTGCCACTTCTGCCCGTATCCACAGTCGGAGTCGGGGTGCTGATCTAGGATCCGTTTAGCCTTTTAGATCATAATAAATACGATTGTATGGACAGATCCCAGCAGTCCTACCTCTGAGACACTCTGGATACGGGACCTGTTCCCACATTCACCCTATACCTTCTACCCCCCCCCCCATTTATTCTTGTATATATTCTATATATTTTTGTTTTAGATTCCGTCTCTCACAGTTGAAGTGTACCTATGATAAAAAATTACACTCTCCCCCCCCCCCCTCTATATTAAACCCTGCCCAAAGAACACATAGGAACTCTGTTTAAAAAGCATGTGCCATTTCAGATATTTATTGCATGCCAAAAGCACAGGTGTGAATGAACACTCAAGAAGAGCAGAGCACTTCTGTAGTCTTGCTTGGGCCAGCTGTTACAGTGGATATAGCCTAGCATGGAGAAACACTGAGCCAAGGGAGAGAGACTGAGTCTAAAGCCCCGTTCCAATAGCAACACTAGCATGCTACTAAGAATTAAAACAATGAATTGGGCAGGCCTATGCATTGGGATGTTCTCTGCTAGAATGGACATTGGAACATTAGTGTACATCCCCAATCGGAACCCTATCCCCTATATATGGTATAGGGTACCATCTAAGACACAGCCTATAACTTCTTATGGAACACCACATCAAAGTCAAACCCCTGGGTCCAGTCACCTCCACTCTTACTGGTCAAGGTTTTTGACCCTGAGGACAACAGGAACGGAGGTGCAGGGGATCATGCCCAGGTCTGTGATGACCAGGTCCACAAAGTCCGGTGGCGTGACGTCGTAGACCAGGTTCAGGAGACCCAGGGAGCTCACGTCCTGCCAGTTCTCCAGCAGGATCTTCCCCTTCCGGGTCACCATCAGGTCATCGGGGTCATCTGAGGAAAGAAAAATAGGGTTTGTGAAATTTGCACTGCTATTAATGTTGTTTCTATTCATGTCAGTTTAGGAAGATAATTTAATATCTGGACAACTTTGTCGATTGAAGTTAATATTACATTTGCAGATCCATATCTAGGTTACCTGGGAGCAGAACAGAAATGACCCAAACTCAGAAACTAAAATGTTTCATTGTATTGATTAAAGATACATTTACATTTTAGTCATTTAGCAGACGCTCTTATCCAGAGCGACTTAGATAGTGAGTGCATACATTTTTCATACTGGCCCCCCGTGGGAAACTAAGCCACAACCTTGGCGTTGCAAGCGCCATGCTCTACCAACTGAGCTACAGGGGACTCTTCCTGGGGTTTATTATGGATCCCCATTAGTTCCTGCCAAGGCAGCAGCTACTCTTCCTGGGGTTTATTATGGATCCCCATTAGTTCCTGCCAAGGCAGCAGCTACTCTTCCTGGGGTTTATTATGGATCCCCATTAGTTCCTGTCAAGGCAGCAGCTACTCTTCCTGGGGTTTATTATGGATCCCCATTAGTTCCTGCCAAGGCAGCAGCTACTCTTCCTGGGGTTTATTATGGATCCCCATTAGTTCCTGCCAAGGCAGCAGCTACTCTTCCTGGGGTTTATTATGGATCCCCATTAGTTCCTGTCAAGGCAGCAGCTACTCTTCCTGGGGTTTATAATGGATCCCCATTAGTTTCTGCCAAGGCAGCAGCTACTCTTCCTGGGGTTTATTATGGATCCCCATTAGTTCCTGCCAAGGCAGCAGCTACTCTTCCTGGGGTTTATTATGGATCCCCATTAGTTCCTGCCAAGGCAGCAGCTACTCTTCCTGGGGTTTATTATGGATCCCCATTAGTTCCTGCCAAGGCAGCAGCTACTCTTCCTAGGGTCCAGCAACATTAAGGCAGTTATATACAATAAGAAATATTACATGACATTACATTTCATAACACTTTAAACAACACATTCAGTGTGTTCCCTCAGGCCACTACTCCACTATCACATATTTACAATATCTCCATGTGTACGTGTGTGTAGAGTGCGTGTCTTATCATGAGTGTGTGTGTCTGTTCACAGTCCCCGCTGTTCCTGTAAGGTGTATTTGTATCTGTTTTCTAAATCTGATTCTACAGCTTGCATCAGTTACCTGATGTGGAATAGAGTTCCATGTAGTCATGGCTCTATGTAGTACTGTGCGCCTCCCATAGTCCGTTCTGGACTTGGGGACTGTGAAGAGACCTCTGGTGGCATGTCTTGTGGGGTATGCATGGGTGTCCGAGCTGTGCGCCAGTAGTTCAAACAGACTGCTCGGTGCATTCAACATGTTAATATCTCTCACAAATACAAGTAGTGATCAGGTCAATCTCTCCTCCACTTTGAGCCAGGAGAGATTGACATGCATATTATTAATATTAGCTCTCTGTGCACATCCAAGGACCAGCCGCGCTGCCCTGTTCTGAGCCTTTTGCAATTCTCCTGAGTCCCTCTTTGTGGCACCTGACCACACGACTGAACAGTAGTCCAGGTGCGACAAAACTAGGGCCTGTAGGACCTGCCTTGTTGATAGCGTTGTTAAGAATCCAGAGCTGCGCTTTATTATGGACATACTTCTCCCCATCTTAGCTACTGTTGTATCAATATGCTTTGACCATAACAGTTTACAATCCAGGGTTACTCCAAGCAGTTTAGTCACTTCAATTTGCTCAATTTCCACATTATTTATTACAAGATCGAGTGTTTAGTGAATGATTTGTCCCAAATAAAATGCTTTTAGTTTATGAAATATTAAGGACTAACGTATTCCTTGCCACCCATTCTGAAACTAACTGCAGCTCTTTGTTAAGTGTTGCAGTGATTTCACTCACTGCAGTAGCTGAAGTGTATAGTGTTGAGTCATCCGCATACATAGACACACTGGCTTTACTCAGAGCCAGTGGCAGGTCGTTAGTAAAGATTGAAAAAAAGTAAGGGGCCTAGACAGCTGCCCTGGGGAATTCCTGATTCTATTAGGATTATATTTGAGAGGTTTCCGTTAAAGAACACCCTCTGTGTTCTGTTAGACAGGTAACTCTTTATCCACATTATAACAGGGGGTGTAAAGCCATAACACATGCGTTTTTCCAGCAGTAGACTATGATCGATAATGTCAAAAGCCGCACTGAAGTCTAACAAAACAGCCACTGCAATCTTTTTATCATCAATTTCTCTCAGCCAATCATCAGTCATTTGTGTAAGTGCCGTGCTTGTTGAATGCCCTTCCCTATAAGCGTGCTGAAAGTCTGTTGTCAATTTGTTTACAGTAAAATAGCATTGTATCTGGTCAAACACAATTCTTTCCAAAAAGTTTACTAAGGGTCGGTAACAGGCTGATTACTGGCTCAAATAGCCGAGCAAAGGGGGCTTTACTATTCTTGGGTATCAGAAATACTTTAGCATTTCATACCGTAGATTCCTCTATTAGCTCTAATACGATAACCATATACTGTAGGTTTATGCTTCTACTTAGAGAACGCCAAGTTTGGATCCTGGATGCTGATTGGTTGATAGCCATTAGTTGTTCACGATAATCCACGCAAAATGCCATAATTCCATTTCAAGTATCAATCCACTGTTCTGTAGTCCAGCCAGGCATGTATAAACTTCATCCACCGTTCTGCAAACGAAGGTCAAACAAACTAAAAATGCACATAGTTTGCTGTTAATTCAGCTGCTTGATGTGATTGTGTGTTAGCTTTAGTTAGCTAGCTAACGTTAGCTAGCAAAGGAGAAGTAACGTTAGCCTAGCTATCCTCCATAACCATCTTATTGACTCGACAATCGACTGGTTGTTGCCTATTTATTAATGATTTATTAATTAAATATTTTATTGTAGTTCTTGTCTCTCATCTTCATTGAACCTCTGCTATATAGCTACATGCCAATGATTTGTTTAGCATAGCAACGTGGAATGAATAGAATGAACGACTGGGTCAAAACATTCCAATAGAGTTAACGACCAGCCTGTTTGGTTAGCAACTTTAGAACCTTTAGAACTAACAACTGGCTTTTGCCCGGACTACATCGTCTCGTGGAAGGATGAATTAAAATGTTAATGTTTTTAATGAAAACAAATCTTATTTTTTTTATTTTTTTTATATATGTTGGCAACTGTTTTATAAATGCAACAAGGTCCTCGAACCCGGGAATTATTGTGTGATAACTCCCTCCTAAGGACGGTTTCCCGGTCCTCGGCTCAGAGGAGCCCTCAGTCGGGAGTTATCACACGATAATCCCTGGCTTCTCATGCCTTACTTATTAAATTATAAACTCAAGGAGGCTAAATGAATGCTTGCCACGTTACCGAGCTCATTGGAGACGAAGGAGTCAGTCTGCACCCTCTCACAGAACTTGTATGTCTCACAGCAGACCAGGACTGGCACGTTGAAGGTCCTGGCCACCAGAGCTATCTGAGATGTCCCCACACGAGACATCACGTAGCCATTAGCCAGCAGGGCATGGGCACCCAGGAACACCTTAGATACCTGGGAGAGGGGGCAAGTTTAATGATTGAATTTTGAGTGAAATTAGACCATTTATAAAAACCCACATACAGTTAGTTTCATGTGCTGTGGGGAGGTTAGTTAAAAGAACAGGGAAGAGCGAGAGTGTTAAACCAAAGAACATTGTAAGGAAAACATTCACTGGGCCTTTGGATTTTCTACAAGAGGTCCACATTGTGATAAATCAACAAATACCTATAATACCAAAAATCTAAATGATAAGTGCCATAGTGCAATGACACCTCCAGTCCTCCAAGAGTTTTCACACCCATGAGTCAACACTTTGTAGAAGCACCTTTGGCGACAATTACAGCTTTGAGTCGTCTTGGGTGTGTCTGTATCAGCTTTGCACATCTGGATTTGGGGATTTTCTCCCTTGCAGATTTTCTCAAACTCTGTTAAGTTAGATGGGGAGCAGTGATGAACAGCAATCTTTAAGTCTTTCCACATATTTTCAATGGGATTCAAGTCTGGCCTCTGGCTGGGCCACTCAGGGACTTTCACATTCTAGTTCTGAAGCCATTCCAGTGTTGCTTTGGCTGTATGCTTGAGGTCATTGTCCTGGTGGAACGTAAATCTTCTCCCCCAGTCTAAGGTGGTTTGCACTGTGAAGCAGGTTCTCATCAAGGATTTGCCTGTATTTGGCTCCATTCATTGTTCCCTCTTATCCTTACCAGTCTCCCAGTCCCTGCTGCTGAAAACCATCCCCCATAGCATAATGCTGCCACCACCATGCTTCACGGTAGGGATGGTGTTAGACAGGTGATGAGCTGTGCCTGGTTTTCTCCAGACATAGCGCTTTGCATTCAGGCCAAAGAGTTACATTTTTGTCTCATCAGACCACAGAATCTTTTGCCACGTGCCTTTTTACAAACTCCAGGCATGCGGTCATTTGGCTTCTTCTCGGGAGTGGCTTCCGTCTGGCCACTCTCCCACAAAGCCCAGATTGGTGAAGTGCGGTAGAGACTGTTGTCCTTCTGGCAGGTTCTCCCATCTCAGCCAAGGAACTCTGTAGTTGTGTCAGAGTGGTCACTGGGTTCTTGGTCACCTCCCTGACCAAGGTCCTTCTTGCCCGGTTGCTCAGTTTGGTCGGACGGCCAGTTTTAGGCAGAGTCTGGGTAGTTACATATTTTTTAAATTTCCCAATGATGGAGACCACTCTGCTCTTGGAAACGTTCAACACTCTAGAATATTTTTTTTTTGGCTTCATTTCTAATTCTTCCCCAGATATATGCCTCATCACAATTCTCTTGGCGATCTACGGACTTCATGGTATAGTTTCTGCTTCTGTGGGACCTTTTATATAAACAGGTGTGTTTCTTTCTAAATCATGTCCAAACAATTGAAATTGGCCACAGGTGGACTCCAAATCAAAGTTGTAGCGATATCTCAAGGATGATCAAACGAAATTGGATGCACCTGTGCTCAATTTCAAGTGTCATAGCAAAGGGGTGTGAATACTTCCGTAAATGTTTCTGTATTTCATTTTCAATACATTTGCTCACATTTCTAATAACATGTTTTCACTTTGTCATTATAACATTTACATTTTAGTCATTTAGCAGACGCTCTTATCCAGAGCGACTTACAGTTAGTGAGTGCATAAATTTTTCATACTGGCCCCCCGTGGGAATCGTATTGTGTGTAGATGGGTGGATTTTTAAAATCTATTTAATCCATTTTGAATTCAGGCTGTAACACAACAAAATGTGGAATAAGTCAAGGGGTATGAATAATTACTGAAAGCCCTGTATGTGTTGCGATTTGATGTTCAAAATATATTGCTCACCATGTCTGCTGCAGAAAGAGAGAGCATGAGAAAGTCATGGACATAAAAGCACTGAAAACATGTTGGCTCACTATTTAAAAAGATGGAGAACAAGCTATAGGATGAAAAAGACCAGAGTTTTGGCGCAGGTACAGCTGACTAGCGCCAGCTAACACTACCTACAGTAGCGGGGGGAAAAATTAATATATTTATGAACGGATACTTGATAATATTACGATATGTAACTATCTATTTATTCCCCCATCACTATCAGGTAGTATGTATTAGGGCAGAGATGAGGACTAGTTTACCTCAGGTAGTATGTATGAGGGCAGAGATGAGGACTAGTTTACCTCAGGTAGTATGTATGAGGGTAGAGATGAGGACTAGTTTACCTCAGGTAGTGTGTATGAGGGCAGAGATGACTAGTTTACCTCAGGTAGTGTGTATAAGAGCAGAGATGAGGACTAGTTTACCTCAGGTAGTATGTATAAGGGCAGAGATGAGGACTAGTTTACCTCAGGTAGTATGTATGAGAGCAGAGATGAGGACTACTTTACCTCAGGTAGTATGTATGAGGGCAGAGATGAGGACTAGTTTACCTCAGGTAGTGTGTATGAGGGCAGAGATGACTAGTTTACCTCAGGTAGTGTGTATAAGAGCAGAGATGAGGACTAGTTTTACCTCAGGTAGTATGTATAAGGGCAGAGATGAGGACTAGTTTACCTCAGGTAGTATGTATAAGAGCAGAGATGAGGACTAGTTTACCTCAGGTAGTATGTATGAGAGGGCAGAGATGAGGACTAGTTTACCTCAGGTAGTATGTATGAGAGCAGAGATGAGGACTAGTTTACCTCAGGTAGTATGTATGAGAGGGCAGAGATGAGGACTAGTTTACCTCAGGTAGTATGTATGAGAGCAGAGATGAGGACTACTTTACCTCAGGTAGTATGTATGAGGGCAGAGATGAGGACTAGTTTACCTCAGGTAGTATGTATGAGGGCAGAGATGAGGACTAGTTTACCTCAGGTAGTATGTATGAGGGCAGAGATGAGGACTAGTTTACCTCAGGTAGTATGTATGAGGGTAGAGATGAGGACTAGTTTACCTCAGGTAGTGTGTATGAGGGCAGAGATGACTAGTTTACCTCAGGTAGTGTGTATAAGAGCAGAGATGAGGACTAGTTTACCTCAGGTAGTATGTATAAGGGCAGAGATGAGGACTAGTTTACCTCAGGTAGTATGTATGAGAGCAGAGATGAGGACTACTTTACCTCAGGTAGTATGTATGAGAGGGCAGAGATGAGGACTAGGTTACCTCAGGTAGTATGTATGAGAGGGCAGAGATGAGGACGTAGGTGCAGCTGATGCCTCTCTGTACGAGGCGTCTCAGAGCCTCCCTTCCCTCCAGACGAGGCCGGCTGTCCACCACAATCACACGGAACTTCCTGCTCTTCTCAAACGCCTCGCACAGGATGTGGTTCACCAGGGACGAGCTACGGAAGGACAGGATATGACATCAATAACTGATGAGTTCCTTACTAACCCCTAGCCTGTTCCCAGATCTGCTAAGAAGGGGGAGAAGGGACACAGGTTTGATAACTTCTGGATTCTACTGGATTGTAAACCGACCCCTAACCCCTATACCCCTCAAACTCAACTCTGGACCTCGAAGTCAGTTCCACTGCATTTCTTCACTGTTCCCCTCTAATTAGGGACCGATTTAGACCTGGGACACCAGGTGGGTGCATTTAATTATCAGGTAGAACAGAAAACCAGCAGGCTTCGGGCCTCGTAGGGTCAGAGTTGAGTACCCCTGTCCTATACTCTAAATTGGCACTACTGTAGAGTTGAGAGGATTGGATAGATTTTACAGAGGGGAGACAGGATGGGAGATCAGTTATGTATTGTAATGTAGTGAATATGGAGTGTATCCCAACCACGACTCAAACCCTGGTCGCCAACACGTAATCATTAACACTATGGAGTGGTTTCCACTTAGTCATTAACACTATGGAGCGGTTTCCACTTAGTCATTAACACTATGGAGCGGTTTCCACTTAGTCATTAACACTATGGAGCGGTTTCCACTTAGTCATTAACACTATGGAGCGGTTTCCACTTAGTCATTAACACTATGGAGCGGTTTCCACTTAGTCATTAACATTATGGAGCGGTTTCCACTTAGTCATTAACACTATGGAGCGGTTTCCACTTAGTCTAACACTATGGAGCGGTTTCCACTTAGTCTAACACTATGGAGCGGTTTCCACTTAGTCTAACACTATGGAGCGGTTTCCACTTAGTCTAACACTATGGAGCGGTTTCCACTTAGTCATTAACACTATGGAGCGGTTTCCACTTAGTCATTAACACTATGGAGCGGTTTCCACTTAGTCATTAACACTATGGAGCGGTTTCCACTTAGTCATTAACACTATGGAGCGGTTTCCACTTAGTCATTAACACTATGGAGCGGTTTCCACTTAGTCATTAACACTATGTAGCGGTTTCCACTTAGTCATTAACCACTATGTAGCGGTTTCCACTTAGTCTAAACACTAGGAGCGGTTTCCACTTAGTCATTAACATATGGAGCGGTTTCCACTTAGTCATTAACACTATGGAGCGGTTTTCCACTTAGTCATTAACACTATGGAGCGGTTTCCACTTAGTCATTAACACTATGGAGCGGTTTCCACTTAGTCTAACACTATGGAGCGGGTTTCCACTTAGTCATTAACACTATGGAGCGGTTTTCCACTTAGTCTAACACTATGGAGCGGTTTCCACTTAGTCTAACACTATGGAGCGGTTTCCCACTTAGTCTAACACTATGGAGCGGTTTCCACTTAGTCTAACACTATGGAGCGGTTTCCACTTAGTCATTAACACTATGGAGCGGTTTCCACTTAGTCATTAACACTATGGAGCGGTTTCCACTTAGTCATTAACACTATGGAGCGGTTTCCACTTAGTCATTAACACTATGGAGCGGTTTCCACTTAGTCATTAACACTATGGAGCGGTTTCCACTTAGTCTAACACTATGGAGCGGTTTCCACTTAGTCTAACACTATGGAGCGGTTTCCACTTAGTCATTAACACTATGGAGCAGTTTCCACTTAGTCTAACACTATGGAGCGGTTTCCACTTAGTCATTAACACTATGGAGCAGTTTCCACTTAGTCATTAACACTATGGAGCAGTTTCCACTTAGTCTAACACTATGGAGCGGTTTCCACTTAGTCATTAACACTAAGGAGCGGTTTCCACTTAGTCATTAACACTATGGAGCGGTTTCCACTTAGTCATTAACACTATGGAGCGGTTTCCACTTAGTCATTAACACTATGGAGCGGTTTCCACTTAGTCATTAACACTATGGAGCGGTTTCCCGGACACAGATTAAGATTAGTCCTGGACTAAAAAACAATTTCAATGGATATTCTCAATTGACCATGCTATTTAGCCCAGGACTCGGCTTAATCAGTGTCCGGGGAACCGCTCCATAGTGTTAATGACTAAGTTGGAAACCGCTCCATAGTGTTAATGACTAAGTGGAAACACGCTCCATAGTGTTAATGACTAAGTGGAACCGCTCCATGTGTTAATGACTAAGTGGAAACCGCTCCATAGTGTTAATGACTAGTGGAAACCGCTCCATAGTGTTAATGACTAAGTGGACACCACTCATAGTGTTAAGACTAAGTGGAAACCGCTCCACTAGTGTTAGACTAGTGGAAACCGGACATATGTAAATGACTAAGTGGAAACCGCTCCATATGTTAATGACTAAGTGGAAACCGCTCCATAGTGTTATGACTAAGTGGAAACCGCTCCATAGTGTTAATACTAAGTGGAAACCACTCTAGTGTTAATGACTAAGTGGAAACCGTCCCATAGTGTTAGACTAAGTGGAAGCGGACCCTAGTGTAAATGACTAGTGGAAACCGTCTCCATAGTGTTAAGACTAAGTTGGAAACCGCTCCATAGTGTTAATGACTAAGTGAAACCGCTCCATATGTTAATGACTAGTGGAACCGCTCCATAGTGTAATGCTAAGTGAAACCACTCATAGTGTTATGACTAAGTGGAAACCGCTCCATAGTGTTAGACTAAGTGGAAACCGCTCCATAGTGTTCTGACTAAGTGGAAACCGCTCCATAGTTTAATGACTAAGTGGAAACCGCTCCACTAGTGTTAATGACTAAGTGGAAACCGCTCCATAGTGTAGACTAAGTGGAAAAACCGTACATTAGTGTAATACTAATGAAACGCTCCATACAGTGTTAATGACTAGTGGAAACCGCTCCATAGTGTTATGACTAAGTGGAACCGCTCCATAGTGTTAATGACTAAGTGGAAACCGCTCCATAGTGTTAATGACTAAGTGGAAACCGCTCCATAGTGTTAATGACTAAGTGGAAACCGCTCCATAGTGTTAATGACTAAGTGGAAACCGCTCCATAGTGTTAGACTAAGTGGAAACCGCTCCATAGTGTTAGACTAAGTGGAAACCGCTCCATAGTGTTAATGACTAAGTGGAAACCGCTCCATAGTGTTAATGACTAAGTGGAAACCGCTCCATAGTGTTAATGACTAAGTGGAAACCGCTCCATCAGTGTTAATGACTAAGTGGAAACCGCTCCATCAGTGTCCAGGTGACCGGCCCCAAGAGGCTCAGCCCTCTTGATTAAAATACATTATATTTTCTTACCATCCATAAACTAGAATGACGTCTCCATCACTGATCTTCTCTATGGCGTATTTAGATATGGCCCTGGCTGCCAGAACAATCTTCTCCTCTATGTAACGGTCTATACAGTTCTGCAGTTTGGTCTTCGCCTATGGGGGGGAGGGAGAGAGAGAGACAATGACCATATGGAGAGAGAGAGAGAGAGACAATGACCATATGGAGAGAGAGAGAGACACACAATGACCATATGGAGAGAGAGAGAGAGACAATGACCATATGGAGAGAGAGAGAGAGAGAGAACAAGAAGAGAGAAGAGACATGACCATATGGAGAGAGAGAAAGAGAGAGCACATGACCATATGGAGAGAGAGAGAACAATGACCATATGGAGAGAGAGAGAGTAGAGAGAGACAATGACCAGTATGGAGAGAGCATCCTATGAGAGAGAAATGACCAATGAGTGAGAGAGAGAGAATGACCATATGAGAGAGAGAGAGAGACAATACATATATGGAGAGAAGAGAGAGAAGACAATGACCATATGAGAAGAAGAGAGACAATGACCATATGGAGAGAGCAGAGAGAAGACAATGACCATATGGGAGAGAAGAGAGAGACAATGACCATGATGGAAGAGAGAGAGAGAGAGAAGAAAGGGAGAGAGAGAGAGACAATGACCATATGGAGAGAGAGAGAGAGAGAGAGACAATGACCATATGGAGAGAGAGAGACGATAGAGAGAAAGAAGAGAGAGACAATGACCATATGATAGGAGAAGAGAGAGAGAAAGGAGACACACAACATAATATGTATGAAGAGATAGCGAGAGAGAGAGAAGCTAGGAAGACAGCTGACCTATGTATAGAGAGAGACCAATGCCCCTATGGAGAGAGGAGAGAGACAAGCCCATCATGTAGAGAGATTGAGAGAGGAGCGAGAATGAGGAGAGAGAATGACCATTGCCATAATATGGACGTGATGAGTGAAACATGAGTCTTTCTGGTCACAACCTCTAACCCACACACACAGAACGGACAATGTATTCTGAACTCACCTCCTCCTCTTTGCATTGACTAGGAATATTGGATATTTCTTTCTTGATGTACTTGATTGCATTGCCCATGCTCGCAGACAGAGGGCGACATTGATTGAGAAAGCTGCAGCAACAACAACAACGTGGTAAAAGCTCAACCCTGAGACACGATTCAAAAGATCCCAGTTCCACAGCAAGATGTCGCATTCAGAAAGTATTCAGACCCCTTGACTTTTTCCACATTGTTACGTTACATTTAAATCCATTTTAGAATAAAGGTTGCAACGTAACAAAATGTGGAGGGAAAAAAAGGGAAGAGGGGTCTGAATACTTTCCGAAGGCACGGTATATAAACATAGTATTTGACATAAAGTGTTACGAGGATCCGGTACCTGATATAGGGCTTAAGCTTGTTGACCAGATCTCTGGACAGCTCTTCATTGGGAGGAGTCGTGTAGTCCCTAATCACCTGTAGGCAGATGTGTAGTAATCGTATACAATCATCCGTGTGCGTGCATAGCACAAAAGGGAGTTATAAAGACTGATGAATGTGGGGAATGTAAGACACTTCAATGTCAGTGAGTATGTGGTCCTCTGTAGCTCAGCTGGTAGAGCACGGCGCTTGTAACGCCCAGGGTAGTGGGTTTCGATCCCCGGGACCACCCATACGTAAAAATGTATGCGCACATGACTGTAAGTCGCTTTGGATAAAAGCGTCTGCTAAAATGGCATATTATTATTATTATTATTATATTTATGGGGGGGAAATAGAAGTACCTGTTTAAAGGTGTAGAACAGGGTCACAGAGTTTTTTTTATTTTATTTATTTCACCTTTATTTAACCAGGTAAGCCAGTTGAGAACAAGTTCTCATTTACAACTGCGACCTGGCCAAGATAAAGCAAAGCAGTGCGATTTAAAAACAACAACACAGAGTTACATATGGGGTAAAAAAAAAAAAAACATAAAGTCAAAAATACAACAGAAAATATATATACAGTGTGAAGACTGGAACTAAGACGTCGCTAAGCTGACATATGGAATTGTTTTAAGATGGTCATACTATGGATCATTTAGCTATTTTATTTAGAATTTTAGGACCCTTTTCGGTATCAATTTTTTTTTAGATTTGTTTGTTGTTGATAAAGTAGTGATTTTTACTACTAAAGCCGAAAGAAACGCATTGAATAACAAATTCATAAATGGCAAAAAAAAATACAAAAAAAAAGGATAAAAAAACAAGGTTGAAGTGTTTTCCCAACTCTAAGGCCCCCCCCTGTAGTGTTTTCCCAACTCTAGGCCCCCCCTGTAGTTGTTTTCCCAACTCTAGGCCCCCCCTGTAGTGTTTTCCCAACTCTATGGCCCCCCCTGTAGTGTTTTCCCAACTCTAGGCCCCCGCCTGTAGTGTTTTCCCAACTCTAGGCCCCGCCTGTAGTGTTTTCCCAACTCTAGGCCCCCCCTGTAGTGTTTTCCCAACTCTAGGCCCCCCCCTGTAGTGTTTTTCCCAACTCTAGGCCCCCCCTGTAGTGTTTTTCCCAACTCTAGGCCCCCCCTGTAGTGTTTTCCCCAACTCTAGGCCCCGCCTGTAGTGTTTTTCCCAACTCTAGGCCCCCCCCTGTAGTGTTTTCCCAACTCTAGGCCCCCCTGTAGTGTTTTCCCAACTCTAGGCCCCCCCTGTAGTGTTTTCCCAACTCTAGGCCCCCCCTGTAGTGTTTTCCCAACTCTAGGCCCCCCCTGTAGTGTTTTCCCCAACTCTAGGCCCCCCCCTGTAGTGTTTTCCCAACTCTAGGCCCCCCCTGTAGTGTTTTCCCAACTCTAGGCCCCCCGTGTAGCTCAGTTGGTAGAGCATGGCGCTTGCAACGCCAGGGTTGTGGGTTCGATTCCCACGGGGGGGACAGTATGAAAAATGTATGCACTCACTAACTGTAAGTCGCTCTGGATAAGAGCGTCTGCTAAATGACTAAAATGTAAATGATATACAAATTGTACACATATTTAACCCCTTTTTTGGGGTAGGCACAAAACTACCTTAATAATTCCATTAGTTTTTTTAAAAACCGGTACCGGTTACCTTCAGACGAGTCCCGTGTCACGTTGAGGTCGTAGAGCAAAATGGATAACACCATCGGGTTCGTGAGAATCTCCCCTTTCCACAGTGGGGTCCCACTAGTTCGTTGCCCAAACAGAAGTTGGCACATCAACGGTACCGACTTCAATCGAGTCTCCTGACACCATCGTATTCGTGAGAGTCTCAGCCCTTTCCATAGAGTGGTCGGAATAGTTTTTGCAGGTGAAACCGTTCGGACGCTACAGACGTTTTCGTGAAAAGACCGATTTTCGGGATGTCTCATGGTCTGACAAACACCGCAGGTGTGGAAGTGCGACACTGACGGGTACGGTGGATTGAGACGCATCAATGCAATAAAACAGATATCTCTAGCTTAAACTGACAGATTTTGACAGGGATTTTTTTGTTATGAAACTTAGATTGATGCACTGGTGCATCAATTGACTCTAGGGGGCTTAACTAAGAGCAGGTCTGGGGTCAGTAGTACTGTACTCTAGGGGGCTTAACTAAGAGCAGGTCTGGGGTCAGTAGTACTGTACTCTAGGGGCTTAACTAAGAGCAGGTCTGGGGTCAGTAGTACTGTACTCTAGGGGCTTAACTAAGAGCAGGTCTGGGGTTAGTAGTACTGTACTCTAGGGGCTTAACTAAGAGCAGGTATGGGGTCAGTAGTACTGTACTCTAGGGGGCTTAACTAAGAGCAGGTCTGGGGTCAGTAGTACTGTACTCTAGGGGGCTTAACTAAGAGCAGGTCTGGGGTTAGTAGTACTGTACCTGTTTAAAGGCATGGAGCAGGGCCACAGAGCGAGCGTTGGATCCTGCCACAATGCCCTGGGAGTACTGCAGACCCAACCGCACGATGGAGGGGTGGATCACCGTAGAGGGAATGCTGACAGACAGAACCAAACAATTACCCATCAGATCACAGACGGAACCAAATCAATAAACAACCACTCACCGAGACCAATCAGATCACAGAAACACTATCAGCAGAAAGGGTTAGCCATGACCTATTTTACTCACTTCCGCTTACCTCACTATTACATAGAAATGACAATACATGTGTAGACGTAGCTAGAAGAAAGTCTTATAGGATAATTGTATTTAAATAAGGAGGCAAAAAACACGCTCATACTACAACCACTGTTACAGTCTGATATACCACGGCTATCAGCCAATCAGCATTCAGGGCAGATTGATTATCAGAGGTCAAGGGCTTTTCAGTCAGGATGTAGCCGAGTTTACTACGCCAGTGAAGAGGTCAATAAATTCACCTGTTATACTGTAGGCTAGCGTAGGTTACGTAACATGCTAGCTAAATGTTTTGATAACACTTGTTAGATGAGCAAACTAGACTAAAATATTATCATCACGAACACTCAACTCGGCTAACATTTCCCTTCCATTTCTTTGGAGGGAGTTGAAAGTCTGTGTTGCCCAGCGACAGCCCCAAAACATCACTGCTCTAGAGGAGATCTGCATGGAGGAATGGGCCAAAATACCAGCAACAGTGTGTGAAAACCTTGTGAAGACTTACAGAAAACGTTGTGTCATTGCCAACAAAGGGTATATAACAAAGTATTGAGAAACTTTTGTTATTGACCAAATACTTATTTTCCACCATAATTTGCAAATAAATTCATTAAAAATCCTACAATGTGATTTTCTGGATTTTCTTTCTCATTTTGTCTGTCATAGTTGACGTGTACCTATGATGAAAATTACAGGCCTCTCTCATCTTTTTAAGTGGGAGAACTTGCACAATTGGTGGCTGACTAAATACTTTTTTTCCCCACTGTACGTGAAGAGATGGGACATGTCTCGCAAAGTTTAGAACTGTCACGAGGATGGTAACAGCCTAGTAATGGGGGCTGCCTAGCAACCATCATTATGAAGCATCAAATCTCATAAAGGCGCATTGCTAACGCCGGATTTAGCTACAACTAGTCTTATTTTTTGGTTGATGCAATAGGTGTCAATTCTGATCCCAAAGTCGGACGTAGCGACGCCTGAACTAGCATTTAAGACCAACGTTTTTACGCCCAACTGGTGCAACCGGCCTCTGGGTAGGGGCAGGTACAGTGAGGGAAAAAAAGTATTTGATCCCCTGCTGATTTTGTACGTTTGCCCACCGACAAAGACATGATCATTCTATAATTTTAATGGTAGGTTTATTTGAACAGTGAGAGACAGAATAACAACAAGAAAATCCAGAAAAACGCATGTCAAAAATTTTATAAATTGATTTGCATTTTAAATGAGGGATATAAGTATTTGACCCCTCTGCAAAACATGACTTAGTACTTGGTGGCGAAACCCCTGTTGGCAATCACAGAGGTCAGACGTTTCTTGTAGTTGGCCACCAGGTTTGCACACATCTCAGGAGGGATTTTGTCCCACTCCTCTTTGCAGATCTTCTCCAAGTCATTAAGGTTTCGATGCTGACGTTTGGCAACTCGAACCTTCAGCTCCCTCCACAGATTGTCTATGGGATTAAGGTCTGGAGACTGGCTAGGCCACTCCAGGACCTTAATGTGCTTCTTCTTGAGCCACTCCTTTGTTGCCTTGGCCGTGTGTTTTGGGTCATTGTCATGCTGGAATACAAATCCATGACCCATTTTCAATGCCCTGGCTGAGGGAAGGAGGTTCTCACCCAAGATTTGACGGTACATGGCCCCGTCCATCGTCCCTTTGATGCGGTGAAGTTGTCCTGTCCCCTTAGCAGAAAAACACCCCCAAAGCATAATGTTTCCACCTCCATGTTTGACGGTGGGGATGGTGTTCTTGGGGTCATAGGCAGCATTCCTCCTCCTCCAAACACGGCGAGTTGAGTTGATGCCAAAGAGCTCAATTTTGGTCTCATCTGACCACAACACTTTCACCCAGTTCTCCTCTGAATCATTCAGATGTTCATTGGCAAACTTCAGACGGGCCTGTATATGTGCTTTCTTGAGCAGGGGGACCTTGTGGGCTCTGCAGGTTTTCAGTCCTTCACGGCGTAGTGTGTTACCAATTGTTTTCTTGGTGACTATAGTCCCAGCGGCCTTGAGATCATTGACAAGATCCTCCTGTATAGTTCTGGGCTGATTCCTCACCGTTCTCATGATCATTGCAACTCCACGAGATGAGAACTTGCATGGAGCCCCAGGCCGAGGGAGATTGACAGTTATTTTGTGTTTCTTCCATTTGCGAATAATCGCACCAACTGTTGTCACCTTCTCACCAAGCTGCTTGGCGATGGTCTTGTAGCCCATTCCAGCCTTGTGTAGGTCTACATTCTTGTCCCTGACAGCCTTGGAGAGCTCTTTGGTCTTGGCCATGGTGGAGAGTTTGGAATCTGATTGATTGATTGCTTCTGTGGACAGGTGTCTTTTATACAGGTAACAAGCTGAGATTAGGAGCAGTCCCTTTAAGAGTGTGCTCCTAATCTCAGCTCGACACCTGGGAGCCAGAAATCTTTCTGATTGAGAAGGGGTCAAATACTTATTTCCCTCATTAAAATGCAAATCAATTTATAACATTTTTGACATGCGTTTTTCTGGATTTTTTTGTTGTTATTCTGTCTCTCACTGTTCAAATTCAAATACCATTACAATTATAGACTGATCATTTCTTTGTCAGTGGGCAAACATACAAAATCAGCAGGGGATCAAATACTTTTTTCCCCTCACTGTAGGTAGTTACCTGAGTTGCTGGGTGAGGGGGGCTTTGCGGCTATACTGGTGCAGGTGAGAGAACAGGCTGACTTTGTAGCCATAGTCGGATCGCAGTGGGATCTGAAATAAACACACACACGTTTTAGTTCACCGTGATTCTCTTGGGTTCAGAGGTCAAAGGTTCAAAGGTGGGTGGATGAGGTCAAGGCACAGTCCAAACATACATAGATGACAACCTCCACAGCAACCAACCATACTCCGTACTGTAGGCAAGCTCAACAACCTGCACGGTAACCAACCATCCTCTGTACTGTAGGCCAGCTCAACAACCTCCACGGTAACCAACCATCCTCTGTACTGTAGGCCAGCTCAACAACCAACCATCCTCTGTACTGTAGGCCAGCTCAACAACCTGCACGGTAACCAACCATCCTCTGTACTGTAGGCCAGCTCAACAACCTCCACGGTAACCAACCATCCTCTGTACTGTAGGCCAGCTCAACAACCAACCATCCTCTGTACTGTAGGCCAGCTCAACAACCTCCACGGTAACCAACCATCCTCTGTACTGTAGGCCAGCTCAACAACCAACCATCCTCTGTACTGTAGGCCAGCTCAACAACCTCCACGGTAACCAACCATCCTCTGTACTGTAGGCCAGCTCAACAACCAACCATCCTCTGTACTGTAGGCCAGCTCAACAACCTCCACGATAACCAACCATCCTCTGTACTGTAGGCCAGCTCAACAACCTCCACGGTAACCAACCATCCTCTGTACTGTAGGCCAGCTCAACAACCTCCACGGTAACCAACCATCCTCTGTACTGTAGGCCAGCTCAACAACCAACCATCCTCTGTACTGTAGGCCAGCTCAACAACCTCCACGGTAACCAACCATCCTCTGTACTGTAGGCCAGCTCAACAACCTGCACGGTAACCAACCATCCTCTGGACTGTAGACCAGCTCAACAACCTGCACGGTAACCAACCATCCTCTGTACTGTAGGCCAGCTCAACAACCTGCACGGTAACCAACCATCCTCTGTACTGTAGACCAGCTCAACAACCTGCACGGTAACCAACCATCCTCTGTACTGTAGGCCAGCTCAACAACCTCCACGGTAACCAACCATCCTCTGTACTGTAGGCCAGCTCAACAACCTGCACGGTAAACCAACCATCCTCTGTACTGTAGGCCAGCTCAACAACCTCCACGGTAACCAACCATCCTCTGTACTGTAGGCCAGCTCAACAACCTCCACGGTAACCAACCATCCTCTGTACTGTAGGCCAGCTCAACAACCAACCATCCTCTGTACTGTAGGCCAGCTCAACAACCTCCACGGTAACCAACCATCCTCTGTACTGTAGGCCAGCTCAACAACCAACCATCCTCTGTACTGTAGGCCAGCTCAACAACCTCCACGGTAACCAACCATCCTCTGTACTGTAGGCCAGCTCAACAACCAACCATCCTCTGTACTGTAGGCCAGCTCAACAACCTCCACGATAACCAACCATCCTCTGTACTGTAGGCCAGCTCAACAACCTCCACGGTAACCAACCATCCTCTGTACTGTAGGCCAGCTCAACAACCTCCACGGTAACCAACCATCCTCTGTACTGTAGGCCAGCTCAACAACCAACCATCCTCTGTACTGTAGGCCAGCTCAACAACCTCCACGGTAACCAACCATCCTCTGTACTGTAGGCCAGCTCAACAACCTGCACGGTAACCAACCATCCTCTGGACTGTAGACCAGCTCAACAACCTGCACGGTAACCAACCATCCTCTGTACTGTAGGCCAGCTCAACAACCTGCACGGTAACCAAACCATCCTCTGTACTGTAGACCAGCTCAACAACCTCCACGGTAACCAACCATCCTCTGTACTGTAGGCCAGCTCAACAACCTGCACGGTAACCAACCATCCTCTGTACTGTAGACCAGCTCAACAACCTCCACGGTAACCAACCATCCTCTGTACTGTAGGCCAGCTCAACAACCTGCACGGTAACCAACCATCCTCTGTACTGTAGGCCAGCTCAACAACCTCCACGGTAACCAACCATCCTCTGTACTGTAGGCCAGCTCAACAACCTCCACGGTAACCAACCATCCTCTGTACTGTAGGCCAGCTCAACAACCTGCACGGTAACCAACCATCCTCTGTACTGTAGGCCAGCTCAACAACCTCCACGGTAACCAACCCATCCTCTGTACTGTAGACCAGCTCAACAACCTGCACGGTAACCAACCATCCTCTGTACTGTAGACCAGCTCAACAACCTGCACGGTAACCAACCATCCTCTGTACTGTAGGCCAGCTCAACAACCTGCACGGTAACCAACCATCCTCTGTACTGTAGACCAGCTCAACAACCTCCACGGTAACCAACCATCCTCTGTACTGTAGGCCAGCTCAACAACCAACCATCCTCTGTACTGTAGGCCAGCTCAACAAACCTCCACGGTAACCAAACCATCCTCTGTACTGTAGACCAGCTCAACAACCTGCACGGTAACCAACCATCCTCTGTACTGTAGGCCAGCTCAACAACCTCCACGGTAACCAACCATCCTCTGTACTGTAGGCCAGCTCAACAACCTCCACGGTAACCAACCATCCTCTGTACTGTAGGCCAGCTCAACAACCTCCACGGTAACCGTAACCATGGTAGCATCCACATTAATGTAGAAATGTTTAGAAACATTATATTCTTATTTAGAATAAATGATAAATGAAACAACACATTATTTACAATTCATTTCTATTGGGCACAAAATAATCAGAAACACAACCAAAACAAAACTGCAAATGCTTCCAACAAATTTTTAGAGTCACAAGCTTGATGTAATCATTGCATTCTAGGAATATGGGACCAAATACTACACTTTTGACTACTTTAAGGTGAATTTGTCCCAATACTTTTGTATCATTTAAAATCCAAAGTGCTGGAGTACAGAGCCAAAACAACAACAAAAAGTTGTCACTGTCCCAATCCTGTTGGAGCTCCATTTCTCCGCTGTAATGGTTCTTTCTACTGCCAAGTTTAAAGACCGACACGTCTCTCATTATCACAGGAAGGTATGTCAGACGGTGGGAATGAGGACATGAAACAGCCTTGAGCAAAACAAAAGACGGTAAAAAAAACAAAACAAAAAAACAACAACTCAACGGCACACAAAGTAGAGGCCAGACCTTGATACTTAGTACCTTTTTAGCGGCGGCGTGAGGTAGCGTCTGGAAGAAACGTGAGGTACAGAATAGAAGCAATTGCGGTGAGACATGGAGGAGGTAGGTGAGGTTGAGGTTGGGCTTGGTGCCTGACAATTCCCTGTGTTAAATCTATTACTTCACCTTTACCTAATCCAAGGTTTCCCCTAATCCAAGGTTTCCCCTAATCCAAGGTTTCCCCTAATCCAAGGTTTCCCCTACCAATAAATAGCTTCCAGAATGTTGCTTAGAAAGGCACACTGGATGTTGATTTGGGGAGGCGTGCGCCTCGCATGATAAATAATCCAGGGGAAATAATCCAGGGGAAATAATCCAGGGGAAAACACTGACAATCTATATCAAGTCAGTCAAGCAGTGCCTTTGAGGACAGAGAGCAGCGTACTGTATTAAGTGTCAATAACACGCCACAAACCTGTTGTCTCTCCAACTTCTTGGCCAGTCTTTTCACCACTGCAGGGTCGTCCACTTGGACATGCTCAGGAAGTCTCTTCACCACTAACGGGGACAGGAAGCAACAAATGATCTTTGAATACATGGGACTTACTACAACAAGTATGTGTGTATATATATATATATATATAACAAATGAAAATTAAAAATACACTCTAAAAATTAAAAAATATAAAATAAATAAATTGTAAAGTGGTTATCCCACTGGCTATAAGGTGAATGCACCAATTTGTATGTCGCTCTGGATAAGAGCGTCTGCTAAATGACGTAAATGTATACTACTGCAACATGTATTATTTACACAGTCGTTTTTGCTCATCTTTATCAAGGGTGCCAATGATTTCAGTCATGACTGTATGTTTTTCAATAGGGGATGTCCTTCGAACATGTCAGGGGCAGATTAGGGAGACCGCAATAATGGACTGGAGCTTGTCCTGTAGGGCTTTACGTCACTTCCTCATTCCACGGAGGGCCGAGCGTCTGCAGGTTTTCACTCCTACCTTGTACTCGATTGATGAATTAAGGTCACTAATTAGTAAGGAACTCCCCTCACCTGGTTGTCTAGGTCTTAATTGAAAGGAGAGAGAAAAAAAACAGCAGACACTTGGGCCCTCCACGGAATGAGTTTGACACCCCTGCCTTACATCATGTGGAATTGCCACCTAAGTCACAACCTGTAACGTGTGGGTGGGAAGCGGTGTGTATGTTGTGTCAATTGATTCTACGTATTTACCAGCACGTGGAAGCAGCAGAACTCTTAATTGTCCATGTCAAATTTCCCCTCTGAAACAAAGTTTTATGATAAATCAACAAGGTTCTCCAGAGGTCTAACAGCAGCCGTTGGTACCTGGGTTTAGATCACTGGGAGGGGCCTTGGTCTTGGAGGAGGAGGAGCTGGAGGAGGAGCCTAGCTGTTTAGAGGCCCTATCAGCTTCCTGCCTGGCTCTCCTCTCCACCTTCAGCTCAGCTCTGCTCTTGGCTGGCTTGTCTGCCGGGGAGGGGGCGGAGAGGAGTGGGAGGGAGCCGAGGCAGGCACAGGTATTGGTGCAGAGGCAGGGGCGGGAAACGCTGAGGGAGCTGGGGAAACAGACAGACAGGTGAACGGACCAACGAAGTGGATGGTGGAACATGATTGACAGGTAAATAAACCAATGACAAAGCTAGCAGTTTAGGAAAATTAGTAAACAACTATTGAAATGATACAAATCAGACCTTGCAAAATTCCCGGAACGTTCAATAAATTCCCTGCTTTTCCAGAAATCCTGGTTGAAGATTCCAGATGTCCTGCTCATTCCCTTCTGATTCCGGGAATCCTCCAACTAGGATTTCAGGAAAACCAGGGAATTTATTGAACTTTTTTTTTTTGCAACCCTAAGTAGACCATAGGGATTGTATGACATGACGATAACTCTAGAAGAGTTGACCAGAGCAACATGCAGCACTGGACCAGGCTAGAATACAATACCTTTGTGTGCTGCCACAGGTAGCGATGGAGAACAGCTAACAGGCTTCTTTTCTTTCTCTCTTTCAACCTTTTCTTTTTGTTTCTTCTGTTGTTTTTTCTCTTTCCTCAGCCGTTGCTTCTCCTCTTTGGTCAACTCCTTCCCTTCATTCTAATACGTGAAGTGGAAAGGTAAAATCCAGTTGAATTCAAATCACTTTTTTTGACAGCATCCCCTTTTTGATTTAAAACAACAACAACAACAAAACTTTCCATACATGTTTGCCCGTGGAAGAAGTGTTCAGAAAGTGACTTTTTTGGACCTGAATGCCAAAACGTTCAGGAGATAAAGGTGGTCAAAGATGACCCGTTTTGCATACCCCGCCACACCATGAGACATCCATGTCTTCATCACTGGAAAAGATGAACGGTTGAGTTTGATATCACTTCAACGTTACGTTTTTATTGTCGCCTGCACTAGTACAGTGAAATGCCTTTTCTAGCTAGCTCTTTCCTAGCAATGCAGTAATCAATATCAGTAGTACTAGAAAATAAAGTAGAAAAACCCCCACCAGAAATAGAAATAAGAAGAACACAATAAAGTAAGAAGCTATGTCCAGTTCCAGGGGTCAGTAGCTATATACAGTTCCAGGGTCAGTAGCTATATACAAGTTCCAGGGTCAGTAGCTATATACAGGGACAGTTCCAGGTCAGTAGCTATATACGGGACAGGTTTCCAAGGGTCAGTAAAGCTATGTACAGTTTTCCCAGGGTCAGTACTATATACAGGGACAGTTCCAGGGTCAATTAGCTATATACAGGGTCAGTTCCAGGGTCAGTAGCTATATACAGTTCTAGGTCAGTAGCTATATACAGTTCCGGGTCAGTAGCTATATACAGGGACAGTTCCAGGGTCAAGTTACTATATACAAGGGTCATTCAGGGTCCAGTAGCTATATCGTGCCCAGGGTCAGTAGCTATATACATTTTTCCAGGGTCAGGTACTATATAACAATTTTCCAGGTGTCAGTAACTATTACAGTTTCCAGGGTCAGTACTATATACAGTTTCTCCAGGGTCAGTAGCTATATACCGGGCAGTTTCCAGGGTTCAGTACTTATATACAGGGACAGTTCCAGGGTCAGTAAGCTATAATACAGTTGTCTCAGGGTCAGTTAGCTATTACAATTGACAGGGTTTCACCAGGTCAGTAGCTATATACCAGTTCCAGGGTCAGTAGCTATATACAGTTACAGGGGTTCAGTAGCTATATTACAGGGATCCAGTTTCCAGTGTCAGTAGCTATATTACAGTTCCAGGGTCAGTATGCTATATCGGGTCAGTTCCCAGGGTCAGTAGCTAATCCATGGGTCAGTAGTCTATAAATACATCAAAGGTTCAGTAGCTACATACAGTTCCAAGGGTCATATTATTACATTCTCCAGGGTCAGTAGCTATAATACAGTTCCAGGGTCCCCAGTAATCTATATACATTTCCAGGGTCCCAGTAGCTATCTACAGTTCCAGGGTCAGTATCTATATACCGGGGCCCATTCCAGGGTCGTAGCTATATACAGTTCCAGGGTGCCGTAGTTTATAATACGGGTCAAGTTTCCAGGGTGCAGTACTAATATAACAGTTTTCCCCGGTGTCCAGGTTCATAGCTCATACAGTTTTTTTCCAGGTCAGTAGCTATATAATACATTTCCAGGGTCAGTAGCTTTATACAGGGCCCAGGGTCAGTACTATAATACAGGGTCATTATCTTATCTACATGTCGTTCCAGCGTCAGTAAAGGGCTTATATACAGTTTTCGCAGGGTCGTAGCTATATACAGTTTTTCCCAGGGTCAGTAGTTATATACAGGGTCAGTTCCCATGGTCAGTAGCCTATATACACGTCCAGGTGGGTCCCAGTACTATATACAGTTTTCCCACCAGGGTCAGTAGCTATGATACAGTTCCAGGGGCAGTAGCTATATACAAGGGTCAGTTCCAGGGTCCAGTAGCTAAATACATTCCGCAGGGTCAGTAGCTATAATACAGGGACAGTTCCCACCAGGGTCAAGGAGCTATATACAGGGTCAGTGTCCAGGTCAGTAGCTATAATACAGGGTCAGTTCCAGGGTCATACTATATACATGGACAGTTTTCCATGGGGGTCAGTACTGAAATACGGTCCAGTTTCCAGGGTCAGTAGCTATATACAGGACGTTTCCAAGGGGTCCGTAGCTATATACGTTTTCCAGGGTTCCAGTATCTATAGTACAAGTTCCAGGTTCAGTAGCTATATACAGTTCCAGGGTCAGTAAGCTATATAACAGGGTCAGTTTCCAGGGTTCAGTAGCTATATCAGTTTCCCAGGTCAGTAGCTATATACAGTTCGCAGGGTCAGTAAGGCCTATATACAGGTCATTCCAGGGTCAGTATCTTATATACAGTTTCCAGGGTTCAGTAGCTATCTACCGGGTCAGTTTCCAGGTCCGTAGCTATATACCGGCCAGTTCCAGGGTCCAGGACTATATCAGGGTCAGTATCTATTACATTTCCAGGGTCAGTAGCTATATACAGGGTCCAGTTTCCACGGGTCAGTAGCTATACATACAGGGTCATTTTACTATAACAGTTCCCAGGGTCAGTAGCTATAATACATGGACGTGTCCAGGGTCCAGTAGCTACATACATTGTCCCGGTCAGTAACCCCCCCCTTATATACAGGGCCGTTCCCGGGGCAGGATCTATACGTTCCAGGGTCGTAGCTATATCCAGTTCCATTCCCAGGGGCCGTAGCTATATACAGTTTCCAGGTCCAAGTAGCTATATACAGTTTCCAGGTCAGTAGCTATATACATTCCAGGGTCCATGTCGCTATATAGCAGGGTCATAGCTATATACCGGGACAGTTTCCAAGGGGTCAGTACTATAACAGTTTTTCCGGGTCAGTAGTATATACAGTTTCCAGGGTCAGTACTATATACATTTTTCCCAGGGTCAGTACTATATACAAGGGACAGTTCCAAGGGGCAGTAGCTATATACATTCCAGGGTCAGTAAGCTTTTTTACAGGTTCGTTCCGGGTCAGTAGCTATATACAATTTTCCAGGGTCCAGTAGCTATATACAACAAGGGTCAGTTCCCCGGCGTCATGGTCCAGTAGCTATATACAGGACAGTTCCAGGGTCCCAGTAACTATATACACGGGACAGTTCCAGGGTCAGTAGCTATATACAGTGACAGTTTTCCGGGTCAGTAAGCTATAAACGAGGTCAGTTTTTCCAGGGTCATAGCTATATACAGGGTCAGTTCGCAGGGTCAGTAATCTACTAGCAGTGTCCAGGGTCAGTAGCTTATAGACAGTTTCCAGGGTTCATAGCTATAACACAGTTTCCAGGTCCAGTAGCTATAACAGTTTTTTCGCAAGTTTCCAAGGGTCCGTATCTATATACATTCCCAGGGTCGTAAGCTATATACAGGGTCCGTTTTCCAGGTTCAGTAGCTACATACAGTGTCCACGGGTCGTAAGCTATATACATGGAACAGTTTCCAGGGTCAGTAGCTATCTACAGTTTTTCCAGGGTCAGTAGCTATATACAGGACAGTTTCCAGGGTCGTAAATCTAATATACAGGGTCAGTTTCCAGGGTCCGTAGCTAAGATACATGAAGTCTCCAGGGTCAGTAAGCTATATACATTTTTCCAGGGTCAGTACTTATATCATTTCCAGGGTCAGTTAGCCTATAACAGTTCCAGGGTCAGTACTATATACAGGACAGTTCCAGGGTCAGTAAGCTAGATACAGTTCCGGGGTCAGTAGCTATATACAGGGTCAGTTCCCATGGTCAGTTAGCCTATAATACAGTTCACAGGGTCAAGTACTATAGACAGGTCAGTTCCAGGGGTCCTACTTTATACAGGACAGTTTCCAGGGTCAGTAGGTATATACCAGGGACAGTTTCCCAAGGGTCAGTACTGATATTCAGGGACCAGTTCCAGGGTTCAGTAGCTATATACAGGGACATTCCCAGGGTCAGGTAGCTATAAACAGTGTCAGTTCCAGGGTCAGTAGCTCTTACAGGGACATTCCAGGTCAGTAGCTTATCAGGGTCAGTAGCTATATACAGTTCCAGGGTCCAGTTACTATATACAGGTCCAGTTCCAGGGTCCAGTAGCTACACTACAGTTCCAGGGTCAGTAAGCTCTATACAGTGTTTCCAGGGTCCACGTAGCTATAACCAACATTTCCAGGTCAGTACTATATACATTTTTTCCAGGGTCAGTACTATATCTACTACTTTTTTCCAGGTCAGTAAGCTATTACAGTTTCCAGGTCCAGTCGCTATATAACGTTTTTCCAGGGTCAGTAGCTTATATACTGTTTCCAGGGTCAGTAGCTTATACCGTTTTCCAGGGTCAGTATCTATATACAGGGACAGTTCCCAGGGTCAGTAGCTATATACAGTTCCAGGGTCAGTAGCTATAACAGTTCAGGGTCAGTAGCTATATACTCAGTTCAGGGTCAGTAGCTATAATCAGTTCCAGGGTTCAGAGCTATTACAGATTCCAGGGTCAGTACTATATACAGGCATTCCAGGGTAGTACTATATACAGTTCCAGGCAGTAGCTATATACAGTTCCAGGGTCAGTAGCTATAATACAGGTACAGTTTCCAGGGTCAGTAGCTATAACAGTTC